CTAAACAGGGATGTCTACACGTGCTGAGAAACTGGGCAGCTTGGCACTAAGCTTTGAAGACCACCTTGACTGCTGGTTGCTTGAAGAATGCAGCCCACCAGCTGCACAGGCAGTTGAAGATTATTTTGTCCAGATTATTGCCCCATGCTTCCTTTCAGACCTTTTTGAGACACCTGTGCTTCCTGCACCACCAAGCTCTCCACAGCACGTAGTCCAGTAGTTGTCTGCTCTCCAGAGAGTCCTGACACTCACAGATGAGAGAGGAGGGGGAGGTTGGAGGAGCTTAGGACACCCCACCTGCACAGATGCCAGAGACAGCATTTGTCTGGTGTGCAGAGCTGCACAGGGAGCAAGGAAGAGCCTGTCAGAGCGATGGAGCCTGCTTGCGAGGCTTCTGTACCACATCAGCCTGCCTTTATCTGCTGCCTTCTCTGCCTTCAGAGAGGATGGACAGGCTGCAGGTGGAGCTGGGAGCTGTCCTCACAGCCCATATCTACAGTTAGTGAGGTTGGAGTGGGAATGTAGGCAGCCATCCCTGTCTCTTTTGTGCTGCAGGAAAGAACAGCCAGGGGGATTTGAATGAGGCTGAGAAAAAAGAGTGAAAGAATGAGCATGAGTGGAAAGGATTTGAATGGAGATGTTGGAAAGCAAAGCTAGTGCTTGTGTCCTGAGTTGAGAAGTTGCTGAAGAAGTGTGACAATTAAAGAGAAAGAATCAGGAGTGAATTGTAATGCTGGGAAGCTGGATGCCTGCAAAACAGTTCCTTTGCTCCCATCAGCTTGCTGGGCGATCTACATGATTTAATGTTCATTTTTCTAGCTTTTGTTTGTTAGAAATACCTTGGGGCTTGGTGATGAAACAGTTTTTTTCTAATTTCTTCTTTCAAACAAGCATTAATATGCAGTTGTGTGACCACGTACATGGCTTCACAAGCCACACCAGTCTCAGCACAGGAAGGCTGGTGGTGTAGAGAAGAACCACAACAGTAATTCTTGACAGATGTGTTTATTAATATCCTTCAGCTTCATTAAGGCTTCTAGCTGGTACATATCTGGCATAAACATCACTGAGTCTGAAAACATCATCCTGTTTTTCTCCTTTAATAGCCTATATAAATAGAAAATGTAGGTGTGGCAGAGTCCTACCTTGGGCTCTCTGCTATGACAATGCCCCAGCTGAGGCAGGGGTACTGTGGCATTCTGCTTTTGTCTCTGAGACACTTGGTGTGTGTTCCTGGTCCATGGGCCAGCTCGGCTGGCTACAGTGGCACAAGCACTCTGCAAGCATCACAAGCTGGCTCAAATGAGATGACAGGGAAAGGGCAGACAGTGCCCACCAACAGGGTAGGTGATGGTGAGGAATGAGGAAGGGCAGCCCTGGTTTGCAGCTCCCAGAGATTTGGTGGGTGAGTGGATGTGAGTGAGTTCTCCTCTGATTGCTAATACTGCTTACAGTGACAGGGACAAGGACAGGGACAGGGACAGAGACAGGGAAAAGGGCAGGTTGCATACACATGCATGTGAATGCACACAAAAAACATGGGGCTGACTTTGCCCTTTGTAAGATGTTTCTAGAAAACCTATTCTACAAGAACACTCTCACCTCTGCAGCCTGTATAATATTCACAGCCAGCTGATAGGAACTGTGGATTTGTTTGGGTTTTTTCCTTTCCCATCCCCTTCCTCAGATTATTTGGAATGGAAGGAGGTAAAGGCAGAGGTTTTGTGTAGTGCTCTTGTTCTGGCCCCTGAGCCAGGTTCCTGAGCCTGGTGATGAATGAACTTGTAGCATGAGCTCCTCCACTGAGGCTTCAGCAGCTCTAATAAGGTGGCCGGTGTTTGCCTGTCCTCTGTGCCAGCATCTGCTTTATTAACTGCACTGCAGCAATATTGAACTGGAACATGGGGTCAGTGTGATCCGGAGGAGAGATGCTGAGAAGGGGGTGGAAGGACGAAGCTACCAGGAAAACATGAGAACACATGGAGCAGGAGAAAGGAAAACAGCTGGCAATTGAAGTGGACTGAAAAATGGGCTCCTACTAGACTGGTGCATGCAACTGTGCACAGACATGCTGCTGGCAATCAGGGACACAAAGCTTTTTAAAGGAGAGGGATGCAGAGGCAGACTTTGGCCTTTGTGTCTCTGTCTGCTGACCAGTGCTAGTGACTGCAAGCCAGCACCTGCTCCACATGCACACAGCAAGCAGCTGGCTGGAGCTGCCCCCTTTTCTTCCTTGCACTAATTTCACGCCCTTTAAACTGTGCTGGCAGCACACCTGGCTCTTTCTACTGACAGCTGCAGCTAGCTCAGGGCTCATGCTGCTTTTCACAGAGAAGCCAGTCTTTCCAAAGACATCCAGAGCCAGTTCTGTTGTGATGCCAGGACTGTAGAGACTGTAGTAAAGATGTGCAGAGGGCAGTCTTGCTGGCAGCCAGTTTCCGTGTCAGTCCAAGTTGCATATTGGATAGAGACGGGACATAGGTTGGGAGAAGATATGGCTACAAATATTTGGTAAAGGGAAAAGACCTCTTAAAACTTTACCTCTGAGCACCAGGAGCAGATACATGCTGAGCCTTGACTGTGCCTTTCCCATTACCTAGTGATCCAGGTCTCTTCTAGAAAGCAGTGAGGTTGCAATCCATAGGAAGCATATGTGCCTTTAATTATTTATGTTTTGCAGCCAAACCTGGGTGGCAGCCAGTTATTTATTTGGTTACATAAGTCCCTGAGGATAGACTCAACTAGAGGATCCAGAGCTTTGCAGTCCAGACTGGAGGGTGATTTCTCATTTTGTCCTGGATTAGATGATGTGGGAGAGTATGTGATTTGACCTTGTTCCCAGAAGCTTTAGATACCCAAATTCCACCTAACTCCCAGCTGAGGTGGAATTTGCACTGTCTGAATCTCACCCTCAAGCTTCTCTCTGACTCTCCATTTTGCTTCTCTTCTAAAGGTTATGTCTAGACAAGGGAAATGGCTCCTGACCTCCTCCTGTTTGCTGGCTGCCTTCCTAACACCCCAGCAAATGGCAGCCTCTGGGAAGGGGCTGCTGCCAGCCCTCCCAGTCACACTCTGCTCCTCAAGAGGTCCCAGTTAGGGGCTGTACCACTCCAGCCTTCTGCTTCTGGCTTCTGACTGCTCCTCTTCTCCCAGATAATTGGGGGTCGGGTGCTAATGAGCCTAGCTTAAGTCCCTGCCCCTGGGAGCCAGCTGTGCCTCTCCTTGGCCAGAGCAATGGTGTGGAGGGCTGGCAGATGGGAGGGCTGAGCAGTAGGAATGCCAGCTGGGTGAGAACCCAGCTGGCATGTGTGCAGGTAGGGAGCTGTTGATATGAAACAATCCTGGCAGCATCCAGATGCCTCTGGGAACCACTTCCCTGGTCCTGCCCACTAGGACTGCCCCCAGATGCCTTATAGGGCAGCATCAAGCTGGGGGAAGGCACTAGTACATCTCCCAGCTCTCTGCTCCATCTTTCCAGGGGAATGCAGCAAGTAGTTCCTCAAGCAACTTACACCCTGATGTGTGCAGGTACAAGGTCTCCTTTAGGTGCAATCTGTAAGGCAGGTGCAGAATTTTTTTTCACTGTGAGAACCACATGCAACCACAGGTTCCCAAGGACCTGTCCCTGCCCCTTCATTTGGGACCAGCATCCAAACTATGGGCAGATCAAAGATGTGGGTCAGTGGGTCCTGACTGTGTTGGAAATTAATGGGGCTTTGGCACAGAAAGTTCTACAGTGGCAGCCATTGCTTCTGAGTTTGAACTTAAGAGTTAAACATACATGAGAGCTGGAGATAGGCAGAGGAGAGATTACTTGTACATGTTTTTACTCAGCACCACATCAGCATTGCCCCTGTCCTGCTTTGATAGTGGTCTTCGCTTCTGCTGTGCCCTCACTCCATCTTCTTGCCCCACAGATTTACTGTTAACCTTCCTCCATGCATCCCAGTTCCAGTAATCCTATAACTTCAGAGTTAATGATGGACACTGAGGCTGCCTGGCAGGAGGACTGCCTTTGCAATGAAAACGTCAGCCCAGAGGATGTATCAGAGGCAAGGGAAAGCTTAGTTAACACTGGACCATCTAAAGTCCTGTCAATGGTCTTTTTGCCAGCACCAGCATCCCCAGTAACATATCCTGCCACAAGGATCCAGGCACTGCACAGTGACAGGCAGGAAAATTGTATCTTCACAATGCAATCCTCGTTCTTACTCTTTCTCAGCCAAGCAAGCATGACCATGGCAGGGAAGTTTCACTGACATGTAATTCATCATTTTTAGTTGTGGTGATTTTGGTAACGATATTTTCCCTATTGTTTTCTTGAAACTTCCCTGCTGCCATAGAAAACTGAGCAGTGTTTAGATGGTATGGTTCAGCTAACATAATTCATCCCCTTCCAATGGGAATCAGAGAAGAGGGAGCCTGTGAGTGATCCCAGAGCACCATCAACTTGAAATAGACCCCTTGCTCTGGTCTGTGGAGGCAGTCCAAGGATGGACCCTATGGAAGGTTTCTGAGGAAGTATGGTAGTAGATTGCTTGGTAGTAGTGAGACACCAAATGAAGTACCACATTGCACAGGCAGCAAATTAATGAATTCCGTAGCAGTGATTGTGAATTGAAGGGTATCTTGGTGCAATGCCATGCTGTGTTTGCACAGGACCTGAGTGTACTAACAGGGGTGAATTGGGTTCATTTTCTCCCTCCTAAAACCACTGCTTCTGATTCAAAGTTGCTTCAGGACCTGTAGTTCAAATTGTCCCTACAGTCCCTCCATTGGAGGACACCAAGATTTCCCTTCAGGGAGAACTCAGGCTTCTGATCACTGTTCTGTACCAGGGATGGCAATTTTCAAACCAATACTGCATGAAGATCTCATGGAGCAACTGGGTGTAGATCTGTATAGAAAGAGGAGGAATAGGGTGTTAGACGATGGATACGATTCCCAGGTTTTTTCAGTTTCAGGATTTTCATGACACTATGGGTTCTTTTTCTGTGCAGCTGTCTCAGAGAAATACCATCCAAACCTTCATTCCTGTGAAGAAAATGGAGAAAGGCCTGTTGCTGGAGCACATCTTACCCAACCTGAAAGTGCCTCAGAGCTATGAAGTTCGTCTGACGCCCATCACCAGCTTTGGGGCTGGAGATATGTCTGCCCGCGTCATCCGGTACATGGAACGTAGGTGTCTCCTCCTCAGTCCTGCCTACGAGAGCAGGTCTGAGCCTCAGGCCTGGGGATGTGGGCATGCAGAGAGGTGTTCTTCTGTGACCCTTGGGCGGGTCTCTGTGCTCTGAGGAGTTCTGATGGCACAGTGCTATCATGTTTGACTGTATTTTGGATGCTACCATCAATGCAGAGCACTAGAGATTTCTGAAGGTTAGTCTCCACTCATCCTTCACTCAGCAGCTCTAACTCACACTCTGCACCTTGTGAGCAGGAGATCCCCAAAACCCCAGTCAGGCCATGCTGCAACTCCCTGTGGTACAGTGGTTTATAATACAAGATAGCCACTGGATGCTGTATATTAGCCACACACCCATGAAAGTAAGAGAATTTCAGGAAACTGAATGCATGATTCCTATCCTAATTAGCCACTCATAAATCTGTAGCTCTGTCCAATACCTTGAATCCCAGATTATCTCATTGGTATACATGGACCATATTTCTCTTACCATCATCCAACAGCTCACAGCTCTCTCTATTCCCGCAAATCTATGATTCCTTTACTCTCCAACAGGAGTTTGGGCCCTCCATTTCAGCAGAAAGTATAGATCTTTTCCCGTTAGGTTTGCTTGTCCCATGGATTGACAGCGTGTCCAATGTCCCCAGCATCCATAGTGCATCAAACTGCTTTGATGTCCCCCTCAGATACCAAGCTTTGGTATCTAAGTGGGTGCTATCCCACTGAGTACTCCAGGAGGAAACTACTTGTGTTGCCAGAAGGGTTTTCCTATGATTCCAGGTTCACCTCTTAGGTAGGGTTTTCTTAAGATCTCTTGCTGCTTGGATCAGAGTGTTTGTATTTTTTTCCATCACCAAAACAGGCACCAAGCATTGCTTTCTCATGGGGATGCTGTCAGGAGACTTGTGCATTTGTGACCTTTCTTGATGTGTTTGCTTTATTTTCAGACTTTGATTATGATTTCTGCTTTTGTTTTTAATTGTTTTTCTATTTCTTTTTCTAGCAATCAACTATCCAAATCCAACAGGTAAGCAACCAGACCTTTGTGTTAATGCTTTGAATGTAATGTACATTAATCGAGTACTCCAGCATATCAGGCAAGACAAGCAGCTGGAATACACAGCTGACTTTGTCAAATCTTTTTTCCCCAAAAGAGGATTAATTTGCATACACTAAAGTTTCCAGTAAATATTGCCATTTGTTGTACCTTGAGATTTGCCAGGACATTTATGCCTCTCACTCACACCTGGTATCTTTGTTATGGAGTAGACTGATCTTGAACAGCCACTTCCATACCCCAGCACAAGAAATCTATTTCCAGTAAGCAGGTTACTAAATGTTCCCCCAAAATATCTGTGTTTAGGAATATTCCCCATCCTCTTCTGACTAGGAATGATACACTTGGTATCTCTGCAGGCTTGTGTGAAGCAGTCTTCAGCTCAGATCTGTCTCTTCCTGCAAACTTTTTGAGCACAGTCCCTTTCTTCTTCCCCTTCAGTGTCATCACTGTTAACTTGCTTTTTTACCTTCTGGTTATTCAGGCCCATCTGTATTGAGTATTCAGAGTTCCCATTGATTTTGAGAGCAGAATACACAATGTCTAAGAATGATGTTCTTTAACACTAACATGACAGTGCCCATTGAGCATAAAAGAGAAGTTCTAGCTTGCTGTAAGTAGTGGGGTAATGTTCCCCTGGAGATGCAAGAAGGTCCCTCCACTTTGACTGTAGGATGTAAGCGCAGGCAAAACTCTTGGGCAGAGATGGGCAGACTACTTGCTAGTGGGCCATAGAGAGCATGGCGCTGTTTCTCCATTTCCAGCTGCTGAGTCAGTATTCAGTGTTTTTATATATTACTCCATGTGTAGGTGAGTGCTACTGCTGCACTGCAGGGTACCAGCGGGGAGGAAAAACCAGGATTAGGTGATGGCAGAATCGGGAGAGGGAGCTCTCTTGTTAAGGCGGCCACAAGGAGTTCTTGCATGTTCACACTCTGAGGATGGTTTGATGAAGCCTGAGAGTAGGAGCTTCTTACACAGTCAGAGGGATTTTGTGGCTCTAATTCCTGATTCCATTTGCTTTCTTTTCCTCACTTCCTGATCTACCTTAAATATTCTCCACAGAAGACTCACTGGTAAACACAGAGTGTATTGCCAGGGACCTACTCTAAAATATGTCTCTCAGTACTTGCTGGAGGAGGCAAGTGTCCCAGCCCACAGGTAGAAGTGGCAAAGTTTGGCCTTTTGCCACTTGCTTTTACACTGCATAAATCACTGGTAAACCCAGAGCAAGTTCAGTCCTAATTGTGTCAATCTCTTGGGGTCTTTGTAAATTGAGCCTTCAGACTGCCTGCCTGGGGTAGCTTTGGCAGCTTGAGTCCAGAACAACTGAAAGAAATTTGCCTATGGTGGAACATAACTCAGCCACTCATGTTTTTCATGCAGTAAACCCAAAAGTTAGGATTTCTTCTTGATATAAATTGCCCAGCCTCTGGTGGATATTGGGACCTCTGGGCCAGTTATGAGGGCCTTGCCCATGCATTCACACCCTGAGTCTGACTGCCTAAAATTAGACCTACCACACTTGCTTTCAGATATGCCCTTTTCTTTCAGTCCTGCTGCCAGTGAAATATGAGCCCAAAGGCTTTTAGCTCTTTCTTTGGACCACAGCTGAGTTCCCCAACTCTTCATCCCAAAAACGTGGAAATCCCTCCTGCTACCTCTTCTTTTCATACTTCCCCTGCTACCACCATCCCCAGGGAAAAGGTCACACTAGGCTGCTGAGCCAAATTCTGAGAGCAAACATTGAAAGCTCTGGAGTGAAAGGCAAAGATTAGATGATTAATGCCTCTGGCAGGCTGATCCAAGGGCATGCACAATGGTGATTAATTTACAAACTCTGAGAGTCACTTAATACAATTACTTCTTCATGCATTTTTTCTCTCAGCCTAATAAGATGTTAATAACATTGGGGCAGGCATGGGTGTGGCATGGTTACAGAGCCAGGTATTGGGTTATAAAGGAAAAGTCAAGGAAGAGCAGAGGAAGTGAACAAAAGACGTTGGGAATTTCAAATATTTAGAGGTTCCAGTAAGACTGACTCTTAAAAATCAGTTAATTTGGTTCTAAAAAGCAGAATTTGTATTTTAAAAACAGCTTAAGTATTATCTGAATTTTAATATTTTACCTTAAAGTTCTCTTAGAATAACCGATTGTTTTAATGTCATGACCACATTCCAGTGGTGGAGAATCTGCTCTGTCCTTACCTCCTCTGCAATTTTATTTGGATATAATGTTTGCTTTCTATGGAGTGCTGCCCCACAAGCCATTCCAACTCCTCTTCCGTGGGTGTTTTGGTTTCCCTTGTTTTGTCAGACGTAACCCTGATGAGATGTCATTAAGTATATGGGATAGCTCATTTGTTTTTTTGCTGGCCAGCCTGTCTTGCCCTTTCAGAGCAGCAATACTGTTTCTCACATACCTGCAGTCTGGCTGTGTGGGGTGCTAAATCCATGCTTTTGGGACCATGGGCAAGTACAGTGGGTGGCGATCTGTGGTAGATGTTGGTTGTTGCAGATTAGCCTGACTTGTTGCTTACCATCTATTGCTGATGTGTCTGGTCTCTGGTAATGCTCAGAGTCCAGAGGAATCCAAGTTTGTTCAGGTAAGAATATGTGGGAATGTCAGCCTCTGTTTAGAGTTGGATTACTTAAGTTTGTGCCCATTGTTCAAGAATGTTTTGTAATGCAAAGGTTAAAAGAGGTGACAGTTCCTTGTGTCCTGGTGGCAAATAGGATGACTTAACCAGTTACAGCATTGTGAAACTTTCTTCCATTACTGTGTATAAAATCCCTAGAAAATTGCAATGGGAGAGACTGTTAAATAGTCTTTCTTAGATCATGACGTACTCTGAGGTCTCAATACAGTTCTCATTGTCTTCATTTTCTAGATGGGGAAACTGATGTCCAGAAAATGATAGCCTGAGGGTCACACAGCAGATCTGCGACAGATCTGGGGCTTGGAGCATGGTCCTTTATGCTCCAAGCCAGTATCAGTTGCACACCACAGCTAAATGATGAAGGCAATTTTATTCAAGTGCACTCCATCTTCTATTCACCCATAGTCTGCAGCTAGAATAAGATTACTATTTTTTGCATTCATCTGGCAGAATTTCAGAACTAGGGATGGCTTTTGCCTAAGGACTTGAAAGGAAAACCTCTATTATGTTTCTCAAGAAGGCAAAGCAACAAGAAATGCTAATAGCCATAGGAGAGGGTCTCTCCCCTGGGAATGCATGGAGGTGTCTGTAACTGAGAGCAAAAATCTCTGCACTCTGAGCTGCCACCACTGCAAAGCCTGCCAAGGAAATCTGTGTGATGAAGGCAGCACTAAATCCAGCTTTTGAGGAGCCAGCTCCCTGCCACTTCCACCTTACTTGTACCAATCCAGATAACAACTTCTGTGTTCAGTATTTAAATCCACTGCTTAAATTTTAAACAGGAAGCTTCTTTTACTCCCTGAGGTTTAACCAGGATCCCTGGCAAATGGCAAAAGTCTCCAAGAAGGTTTGCATCACACAGTCAAGGTCAAAAGTCAGATCACCTCTGTGGTCTCTGAGGTACAGCAGGTGATTTAAAGGTTTTGTTCTTGGTTGGATCTGCCAGGTTTGTCCTGGTGAACCTTGTTGATAACCATCCAGAGGTTGACACTGCTGGCAGTGTCCCAAACACTGAACACTTCACAGTTATTCATGGCACCTCCCCTGTAGCTCACAGAAACTACAGAGCTTTGCTTTCTTGTGTCTTGTTTTATACCAAAGGACCAGGAGTCAGAGCACTTAGGTTCTGTTTCCAGCTTAGCCACTGCCTTCTGTGGCCTTAAATGTGTCTCTCTGTACTTTGAGCATCTGTTTTCTATGCAGAAGATGCATAGAAAGAGGCATTGCTATGCTACAGAGAAAATAAGAAGCCTTGTTCATTAGTTGTTGCAAAGTGCCTGGAGCTCCCAAGCTAAGCAGAGGCAATGTGCTGGAGGTTCAAACTCCTGCACAGCAAGTGGTGTTGCACATAAGAGGATCCTGATGTTGATTAAGCATTACTTGATCTGTGGTGCATGGGACCCTTCTCTATTTTAGGCACTGCGATAGAAGCGTTGCCTTCTGGAAGGAGCTGCATTTGAGTGAGAAGATAAAATGCACTCAAGGTCCTATATGGATGTTAAAAGTGCTCTCTATGGACTTTTGAGTCAGCTTCTCTGAGCAGTCTCATCCCATGTGTGTGGCTTCTTACATATGAAGGCACAGTAGTCCACCAGGCTGGCACAACCAGGCCTTGGTGGTAAGTTTGGAATGCTGTCCTCAGGTCATCTTGCACAACTCTCTCTGATCTCCACCTAAGCTTGTGCTTTCTCCTTAATCTGCCTTTCCTTTGGTTTCTGTGCCTCCTTATTTGTGGTTTGTTCCCTCTCAATCGCCTGGCTGACCTCTGTGTTACAGCTTCTTACTCTGCTTTCCACCTGATATTCCCTGTCAAGGTAATTCTGTGTTAGAGAAATATGTCATCTTTCTTTGAAAGTCCATGCTCTCAACAGGGTCAGAGGTGCAAATTGACTGGTGCTTTTGTGAAAGGACAGTCATTGTGGATCCTGCCATGTAAGATAATGCCATTCGGAGAGAAAATGTGTCTCTTTGAACTGCAGCTGGCAACCCATGAGCTGGAGTCATGCAGATATGTTTGGTGCAGTGGAGAGAAACCAGGGGTATTACACCATCCAGCAACATCAGCAAGCTTGTGGGCTCCAGCGTCTCCTTTGAGGACTACTGGGGATCTGGTACAGCCATGAACTCCATTCTCTCAGCCAAAACAGCTGAGGAAGGACCCTTAGGAGCTGCTTTCTGACTTTTTTCTCCTTCCATCTCTTTGTTCTGGGGATGAAAGAGGCCTCCTATCCCACCTAGTTACCCTGTCTCAAACCCTGCAAGCATCTGCCCTGTCCTCTGCTCTCTTCCCTTCAGCTCCAGATGCCATTAGGGCCCCTGTGTCAGGCACTGCAGAGCAGTGGCTAATTTGGATTTGGATGCTAATTAGAAATGAGCAGATTAAGTGGAAAGCACTTAGCCTGGGTTAATAAGCAGTTAAGTGGCCAGCCCAGACAAGCTCTCCATGTGCTCTGTGCTCAGCCCAAAGGAGTTGGCGTGTGGTGTTTCCTGCTGAGTTTACTGAAAACCCAGCTGTCCTGGTCTGTGAACCAGGCCCTTGGCTTGCCATACATTGTCTAACCTATGCTGGCAAGACATTTTTGCAGGTTACTTCAGGAGGCTGCATCCTCTTTTCTCACTGCTTTGATAGGATGCTGGAAAGAGATGGGCAGGAAGGGGAACCCAGTTCTCTACCACAGGGGTGTGCAGACCTTTGATGTCTGTTTAGATTACAGTAATTTTCACTTCCAAATGGGAGGGGATGGGGAGGATGCTAGCCACCAGAAGATAGGGTAGCCACCAGAAGGTGCAGCATCTCAAAGTCAAGATTCTGTTCATTTCGTGGGTAGTGTTTCTTCTTTGTTACATAAGAAGAGATTGTGTTGTGTATAGTATATGTATGAAGCTCCTACCATCACATTGTGCTGCTTCTCGAGCTTTTGCCCCTGGCATTGCAGAAAACTTCCCTTGCGTGTCCCATCCTTGGCACCCAACCCATAGGTTGAGGACCCTGCTCTGTCCTACATGTCCTGCTGGAGTCATACATGCTAGGAGAAAAAAGCCTGCCCAGGAAGCAGAGCAAGTCATGACTGAAGATATAAGAATGCAGGAGCCCCAGGAGGCATTTGGGCTTCCCTTAATTTAGGCACGATAAATAATAGTGGGAGGTAAACCCCAAGAAGTTGAGTCTTGCACCGGCATGGCATTGATGAAGTTTCTAGCACATTCCAAGCCCTTGTCAAGAGCCTTGGTTTCTTTTGTGTATGTGTTCTTTCATGGCTTCATCTTTTAGCACACCTCCTTGCTCTCACTTAAAAGCAGCAATTAAAGGTATCTGTGCTTGCAGATACCAAGGTCCAAGATCCCACTTCAAGTTAATTCTCCCGCTCTGGTTTCTGCCCAGGGACTTTTCAAAACACACTTCAGTTTTCATATCGGTTCTTGGACCTGTTTTCTCTTTCTTTTTATCCTGTTTCATCCATCCCTCTCCTATTGTGTCAGCAGTGTAAAGCAGGTTCTTGACCTTCGCTTTTGTGACTCAAAACTACCTTTTTAACACAAAGGTTACAATCTTCAGCATGGTCATGTCCAATTCATTCCAATCTCTTCAAGTCCATATTGGGTGATGTCTATGCACAAGATTTTTCATTCATCTTACAATATTGCTGTAGGGTGTAACTATCTTGTGGTAGTAATAAAAGTCAGCCCTGCATACTGCATATGTCATTGATCCTACATAAAAATCTTTTACCTACATGTTTTATTTTGCTAGGGGAACCAGCATAAGCTGCAAAATCAAATGTGCCTTTTAGCTGGTGTAAATTAGATGTACTCTGGCTAAATGACACGTTTGTCATGCTGAGCTGACCTCTTCTCCACAGCTGATTTTTTTTCATGTGTGTCATAGTTTAGTTAAATATATAGCCTGAAGGGGGGTCATCTGCTGCTACTTTTTCCTCTCTCCTGGGGAAATGATTCTACCATCAAGTTGTTCTGATATAAAAGCCCTTGTAGCCAGTTTGCCTTTGGTGATCTTTTTACCTTCCTCTACATTTGCCCCTTCAGATCTCTCACAGAATCTCTTTAGCCATAATAGCCTTTTTCCATTTTGTCACACCATCACATTTATCAGCCTGGATTAACACTTCTGTAGTAACACTGATCACTGATGTATTATGGGTAGTGATAGGAAAAGGGGAAACATTTTTAAATAAAAGAGGGGACATTTAGATTAGATTTTAAAAGTAAATTCCTTACTCAGAGAATGGGGAGGCACTGCAACAGGCTTCCCAGAGATGTTATTGGTGCCTTATCTGTGGATGTATTCTAGGTCAGGTTGGATGGGACCCTGGGTAACCTGTTCTAGTGAATAGCATCCCTGCCCATGGCAATGGGCTTGGGACTGACTTTGGGTTTGGAATAGACTTTGAGGCTGTTTCCAACTCAACCCATTCTGTGATTTCTATTATTTCTATGATGCATTCCTTTTCAGCCTCCTGCTGAGGTCAGGGGCTGCCCATCTGCCTCTGGCTTGACACAGAGCCTCAGTGGTGACACAGCACTGCTGTGAGCACCCCGGCAGCTTGGGAAGGGTGTTTGAAAAGCAGCAGCTGAGCAGCCCCTTCCCTTCCCCTCCCCACAGATAACACCTGCCGCTTTGAGGATGAGAAGATCTGTGGCTTTGTGCAGGACAAGATGGACAACTTTGACTGGACCCGGCAGAATGCCCTGACCCAGAACCCCAAGCGCACCGTCAACACGGGGCCCCCCATGGACATCAGCGGTACGCCAGAGGGTAGGCAAAAGTCTGGGTTTCTTTTGGCTTGGCAGGGGAGGGGAGGTGCACACCATCTCTTGTCAGGAATCTTACAGCTCTGGGAGCTGATGGAAGGCTGATCTGCTTTCTACTTCACATGGGATACAGGGAGCAGGCAGCTAATTTGCAAGTTACTGATTGGAATTAAGCACACAATTAAAACACCCACAACTTTGTTGAAGGGAATAGTGTGAGGATTAGTTCCTGTCAGCTAATTGCCTGATGCCTAATGCTCTTGCAGTGTTTGATGCTTGTTTTGAAGAAAAAAAAATTGATAAGCAAGTAGGAGAATACTGTGACATCTAGAAATGGCCCTGTAGGTTTTAGCAAGCTGTGTCCTTAAAGAAATTTTCAGGGATGCAAACAGATCTCCTTAGTACCAAGTACAGAAGCATGAGAGACCAGACAAGAGCTGCCTGTGAGGCAGGAGGAAGCCTCACCTATAGCTAGAGGAGATTGGTGTTATGTATTGCTCACCCTAGCAGTGTGTGGAGCACATGCTCCCAGTTTAAGTGGATACTACATCCCTTTTTCTGTAGTAAGAAAAGTAAATTTGTATGCAAACACATATCTTTGAACTCAGGAAAAAATGGGAAACATCCAATGGCCCACTAAGGAAATGGTTTCTCCCATTAGTGTTCAGTACACCGACCTGATTGAGCACTGAAAATGGTACAAATTAAATGGCTAATCTCTTCCTCCCTGGGCTGTTAACAACTGCTTTGGTATTGTTCTCTTTAGACAACAATATTGTTCATGCTAGATGTACCAAACCCTCTCTCCCTCTACTTGAGGAAGAGAAATTAGTCTGGAATTGTTTCTCTTTCTGGTGTTCTCCTTGCACAGTGCAGTCAGCTGTGAGGCTCTTTGTGCACCCAGACAGATGTGCACGAGCAGGGGTCCACCTGCCACAGGTGGTCACAGTATGTCTGCAGATGCCTGTCTCTGCCATGCTTCCCTAAATACAGCCAAGGCAGGGGAGGCACTGCAGATATCCTGCAAGTGTCTCTGGCCAGGATCACAGTGGGCACAGAGCAGTTGTGCATATCACGGCCATGTCTCCCAGAGTAGGGGTGGTCTCCCAGCCACACTGGCATCCCATCATTTGGAGGGAGACCCAGTGCATGCTGTCTTTGCCCACCTTTCCCTCTCATTCTGCAGGTTATTACATGTTCATCGAGGCGTCCCGGCCCCGGGTGACAGGAGACAAGGCCCGGCTCATCAGCCCCCTCTACAATATCACTGCCAAGTATTACTGTGTCTCCTTCTACTACCACATGTATGGGAAACACATTGGTGAGTCCCCTCTGGGGAAGGGTAAACTCAGTCTCATGTGGCTGAGGGAAGATCTCGGGGAAGATCTCTAGCCTCTTGCTCCAGCAGCTGTGCCTGCGACCAGCAATTCCAGAGGGTGGGAGTCCTACTCCAGTATTCCAAGCAGTAGAGTGGGCTACTGCACTCAAATACTTGTCCCGTAGTCCAGCAGTGTCAGGGTTGTGAGGCTGTCACAGCCTATGCCTAGGGCAGCACCTTACAGTCAGTCTGTCCATTGGACAGGAGAAGATGATGAAGGTGCTCTGTGAACCAGAGAGCTCTGGGGTGGCCACACCTACATTGGGATGTGCAGGATGTGTGTTCCCCCAGCTGGGCCAAGGGGCTGCCTGGCTCCCTCCTCTCGTTGCTGTAAGTCTCAATTGCAGTGAGCACCACAGAAGCGCCTGGCACACAAATGAGTTTCCATATCTAGTCAAGGAACTGCTAATTCGTCACCTCTTGATTATAATTTCATTAATTTGAATAATGCATGCACTCATTGCACAGCACACAGGGTTATTAATCACCTGCTGGACTAGGGCCTGACTGAAAAATCAGGGCCCAGGCAGGAATGTGTCCGCCTTTCAATAAGCGGGGTTAATTAACTTCTCTCTGCTCATTACTGCAGATGTCATTGGGAGGGAACATGCTCCTGACTGGCCACATCTCTGTGCACATGTGGCACAGCTGAAAGGTTAAACTGCAAAATCTGGGCAAGGCTGAAACCCTGACACCATGAGTGTTGGGGCTAGGAGCTGGGCTGCAGTTCACTGATCACGTCTCCACCTGTGTCTGTGTTTTGAGGGTTCATATTTGCTCTCTGCACTTGGAACTGGCCTAGGTCAGAGGTGTTTTCACACACCTGGACTCCCCCTGGAACAGGCCACTCCATGTTGTACTCTTGCCAGCGGTGGCACCTTGCTCAGGCAGAGCACTGTTAGTGTTGGCTCACACCCGATTTTCCTTGAGCTGCTGGTTCTGCTTAGCTGACAGAGTCCAGCTGCTAATGCTGTCTGGCAAGCTCATGTGTTCCCTGCAGCTGGCCCTTATGGTAAGTCAGCTCTGCTGCCTGATTCCTGCTCATCTTCTCCTGGAGGCTTGGACACGGGTCTCATTCTTTGATGAAGAGTGGTCCAGATCAGTGGGAGACTGGCAAAAAAAAAAAAAAATGCAGAGAGAGAAGGCCTCTCTTGATTTTTTCCGTGTGTCAGATTCCCACATTCATTTCGCAGGTGAAGTAAAAGCTCATTAACATTTTCTTGATTTTGAAAAGGAGCTTGGTTTAACAGTTCTTTTTTGGTGGTCTGTCCAGATATAGGGTGGACTGGATATACCAGAGAATCAATTTATTAGAATTTTTTTTTTTTCTTTTAGCATTTTAACTCTTTGCTGATTTGCTCTACCCACAAATTACCCAAAAGTGATGGTGATTCCTGAAACCTAAGAAAGCCTCTAAGGGCCATTTCTTTTCCTCAACTTCAGACACCTTTTATATATTTTGTTTTTTTTCCCTTCATAACCAATGTTATGGGCCCTTTTTGATCCCTGTTTTCCCTCTTGTTGTACAGAGGCTGATAAATTTCTGTGAGGTGGATAGAGTCTTTAATGCCATGTGATTTCCATGGTGGGTGCTGCTGAGCTGAGAACAAATTTTAAAATCAGACTGATTAGACAAAGATTGAAAGAGAATGAAATGAGAAAAAAGTCCTTTTTCTCTTGGCCTGTGTAATATATGACTTGATCCAGCAAACCCACCTATATCTGCCTGCAAATTGAAACTCGGCGCCTTGATACCAGGCTTGATGCCCTTACTGGCTGAACTCCTCCCTGAGTTCTTAGGACAAAACAAGTTTATTCAGTTCTTCTTCAGCCCTGGGTTAGAGGAGGGTGTAGGACTCAGTAGGGCTTCTCCTGTGAAATGAGGAGACAGACCCTGTCCTTCCATCCATCTCACATGTGCAACAGTGTGAAGGCAAAGATGGGGTTCCTGCAGTCCTGAGCCATGCCTTGCTTCCCAAAGACCCACTATCCCTGATGCCTGCAGCCATGGCCACAAGGCCTGGCTCACCTAGTGCCAGCACAGTCCTGCTAAGCCAGATGCCAGCAAGAGTTTATCAGATTGCTCCTGTCAGCAGAAATGCCAGCAAGAGGGTGTCTCCCACCCCAAGCCTCTTCTAGCAACTTCAGCTCCATCGTGGAGCAAACTGAAGCTCTGTTACTACAAAAAGTAGCCATATAAAATCCCAACATTTATTTATTTTTTTTAATAACTCTTTTATTACCTTCCCCCCCTCCCCACTACAGAACTTGAAAGCTGGCTTACTCTCACAATTTGACTATAAAATATCCGCAGCCATCCAGGCAAATCTTCCCTGGGAGAGTTCCCAGACACTACTCGTTTATAATAGATATGACGAAAGAGAGAAACAGAATACAAATGCACTGGTTGTAGCCATGATATAAAATATTCAGTGACTAGCAGAGCAGGATGCCGTTGAATATCTCCCAGCTGATGAGAGAGCAGGAAGAAGGGGAGCTCCCTGGAGGCAATCACTGTTCTTCTGAAGTTATTTGGTCATCTGTTTTTCTTCCTCTGGCCCCCTCTGTAGCAAACATTCACATTGCCCTATGATCCTGCCAGCCCCAGCAAAAAATTCAGGGGGAGGGGAAGAAAAGAAATCCTATTTCTACCAGGCATTCAAGAACAAGAGTATTTTACTTGCAGCTGGTGTAGAAATGTCAAATGAGGCTCAGTTGGTTGGAGCCTGGTGCTAATGATGCCATCGTCATGGCATCAATCCCTGTGTGGGCAATTCACTTTGAAGTTGGGCTTGATGATCCTTGTGGATGCCTTCCCACTCAGAATATTCTGTGTTTCTGAGGAATTGTTTACTTTCTTCAGGGGAGGAAACTAGCCATGGCAGCTAGCAACTATTTGCCAAGTTCAAAAATCCTCTTTGTCAGGTTGGCTGGGAGCAAATCCTCAAGTCCTTGCTTCAGCCATCATACTCCTCTCCCTCCCTCCCTGGGGCTGCCTGAGAGGAGGATGCTTTAAGAGGACAGTTTCCCTGACAGACTATTTCTACCACAGTCCCCTGCCATCTTTCTCTCATGCCTCCTAACTCAATGGTAGCCAGGTTATGATCTGTGCAGCCTCCTGCTCACTGCTGGATGCTCCTGCAAGCAAGAGATGTCTTCATGGTCAGCTTGCAAGATGAAGGTTGCTGAGAGAAACATTGAAATTTCAGCCATGAATGGAGAGTTAAGGGGTGATTGTTCCAGCATTAACACAGACCTTATCTGACAACCCCAGCTAAGTCTGGTCTGTGTATAATCAGGATGGGAAGCTTGCAATAAAACTATTCATTGCTTTCTACAGCTTCTTGAGGAGGGAAATGGGCTAAAAAGTGCTGATCCATGGTATGCAGTGACAGGATGCATGGGAATGATTCAAAATTGCACCAGGGGAGGGTCAAATTTCTTTATTGAAAGGGTGGTCAGACACTGGAATTGGCTTCCAAGAGAGGTGATGAAAGGGTGAAAGGGGTCAGGCAGTTGGTGATTGTAGGTCCTTTTCTTTCCCTTCATTTCCCATTTTTTTTTTTTTTTTTTTTTTTTTTATTTTTTCTTTTTTTTTTTTTTTTTTTTTTTTTTTTTTTTGGGTTTTTTTTCCTCTTTTTTTTTTTTTTAAAGTCCCATGAGGAACAGTGATGGGGACTGATTGAGAAGGATTTTGGTTCTAAGTCACTGGAAACAGTGAGACCTGATCAGATCACTTGCCACAGCATCTGAGTTGAAGAAAGCCACGCCTGTTTCACAAAGGGAATTGGGCTGTGGGCAGGCCACTTACACAGTCAGTACCACTGAAGCCCTCCTGTTGAGGAGGAATTACAGGTCTGGAAGGCCTGCCAAACTGAATTGCTTCTTTACTTCTTCAACTCAGATCAGACAATCAGGGCAAAGGTGTGTCTAAAAGGCCATGGTGGATGACCACACATAGGAGCCAGCAAGTGCTGTGTGGCTTTGACTTGTTTCTGACAAGTCATGTTACTCAGAATCGTCAGGTCACACAGATTGACTGGTTATGTCAATGAAAAATCAGCTTGAACCACAAGGGCATAGTTTTTGTGAGATTCAACATCATAGCTCCTTCATTCCTACCCAAACTTTGTTTATGAACACAGCACCCTGCCACTGCACAGTAGCACAGATGGCACCCTGGAGATAACTGTGTTCTTTTGGATACATGTAGTTTGCCTTATATAGAAATGTGTCATTTATTAAATCCGTGCCATTATCTCCAGTGCAATTACTCTACACAATAGGGATTACATCACTGGATTGACTGAGGGGAGGCTGATTTTCCTAATCAATATGATTCACTTCTCTCTAGGCTCCTGAAAACAAGTTGCAGTTAGAGTTAAATGAAGAGTTTGTAATGAAAAAGTGTACTCCATTTTTTAAAATACTCATTCTTTTTCCACTTATTCAGATGTATTTTTGGCTATCAATAAATACCTATTTGACTAATGATCTGTTAAGAGAGCCAGCACCTTCCTGTGGGCTGTGGTATGGACCTTTTGGATAGATTATGGTTTCTTCTAGTAGTATCTGCATGGGGTTTTTGGGAGGTTAGTCAAATGCCATGATCATGAGCAAGGGTTTCAAATACCTAGCAAGAAGACCACGTATTTGTAAAGTGTCATACAACCTCTGTAAGTTCAATACAGTAGCTCTGAACCAAAGACAGATAAAGTCATTGTTTCTCTAAAGAATTCTGTGAACTTTGGATTAGAGGCATAGATTTAAATATTATTAAGACCCAATGGTACTGATACATCATCTAATCAAACTTCCTGAATAACCAAGGGCAGATAATTCCCTTCAGTTACTTTTGTTGGAGCCTAGTAAATACTATGTGCCTATACCTTCTTTAGATATTTACTTATAAAGAGCACCAATGACATGTTTAATATTAGGAT